AAAGGAGGTAAGTTGGTAGTAGAAGTGTTGCTGATAGGAAAATTATTAGAAGTGGTGCTGATAAGAGAATTATTGGAAGTGTTTCCGATGGAAGCGTTATTAGAATCGTTAATAGGAGTGTTATTAGAAGCGTTATTCGAAGTGATATTAGGAGTAGTATTCGAAGCGTTATTAGAAGCGTTGTTAAGAAGGTTATCTATTTCAAAAAAATTCCAAAAATATTTTATCTTTTTAAACGAAAGAGAAAGATATTTATATACGAATCTAAGAATTAATAATTTTAATATATAATGATGTTATTCGTTATATAGGAAAAAAATGAATATATACTTATCTATATACGTATAATCAATTTTTATCTAAAATAAATATGTAAGAATTAATATACGATGAGTATTACGATCTATTATATTTAAAAGTAAGAATTAATATATGATATATGATGATGTTAGTCATTATATAGAACAAAAAACAAATGTATACTTATTTGTAATTTTTTATATACATATAATTACAATCTATTATATTTAAAAATTAAATATATAGTAAGAATTAATACACGATATATAATGATGCTAGTCATTATATATATAAAAAAAAATCGAATATATACTTATTTATAATTTTTATATACGTATAATTATTATTACGATCTATTATCTAAATTTACAAATATAGTAAGAATTAATATACGATATATGTTGATGTTAGTCGTTATATAGAAAAAAAAAATTTGAATATATACTTATTTGTATTTTTTGTCTACATACGTATAAAATCTATTGTATTTAAAGTCACATAATAAAATTAATAAATAACCATGATTTATATAGTAAAAAATAAATGAGCGAAAGTATACTTATCTCATTTGTTGTTTTGGTATTTTACGTGTAATGACAATTCACTATCATTACACGTATAATAACGATTTCTGAGTTTATCTCATTGATAATTTCTGATTTAGAACGTATTTAAATAATATCGGATGTAATATATCGCTAGTTTTTAATTAGTATGTTACATCATATAAACAATTATTATTCTTTGTTTTGATCAAAAGAAAAGAAGGAAGGCAAATCACTAACTCTTCCTGACGATCACTTGTACCAAGTTTTCTCTAAAAACAATTGCACTTTTCTCAATATTTTA